TGACGCGTCCTACACACCATGCAAGTGTAGTCAGCTGGTTCCTCTCTAAGGCGATTTTTACTATTCTGTTCTTGTAAAGCACTTTGAACTGCATTTGACTTGTCTGAGAACTAGTACACACATAAGGTTTGATGGATTGTTGCACCACAGTGGCACAAAAAACATAAATTGGTGAGTTTTAATTAGGCTGCAGGTGCCTTCATTAGGACCTTTATTAGATACAAACAGTTCTGCAAGTTCCTCTTTTATATTGGCTGCAGGAAACAGGTGATGTTCTCAGTGCCCTGCTCATCAGACCCATACGTGTGCAAGTCGAGATCAGATCACAGCTTCTGACAGGCTCATGGAAAAAGGTCAATTATTTTCTGACTTTTTTTTTTTTTAAACAACAGCTTGTTTTGCTGCTGCCAGAATTCTGTGATCTGCAGCATTAAACAAACCCCCGCTGGTATCAGTACAGGTGTCGCTAAATCAAACAAGACCGAAATCTTCATGACTGCCAACTTAAAGAGCTGTGACTGAACACGATGTGTTGCTGCAAACTATCCTTCTAATGTTTGGCTATTTTCTCAATTGATCGAGGAAGTTGTTAGCGGTCAGAAAAAAAGAGTTTCCCAAGATGACGTCTTGTTACAGCACAACCCAAAGAAGCTGGAATCAGAATATTTTGATGTTTTTGTAGTCGACAACTACCTGATTAATCATCGCAGCTACGTTTGTCGGTGCTCTCTAGTGGACACACAGTGGAACAGCAACACTGTTTTTAGCAAACCTCAAACATTATTTCTGTGCTGCTTGTAAACTCATTAACAACGTGCACACAAACACTGATGTATCTGCAGCGAACAGCAGGAGGCGGACGCACATGAATGAAGTAAAATCCGTTAATGAGCATAAAGAGATCCGTCAGGGTCAGTTACCTGCTCACAGCCTTGGAAACAGTCGTAACCTTGACGACAGATCCGTCCTCCTCTGATAGCGTCGGCTCTGAGGGGAAGAAACGTATTAGAGAGAGTGTGATAAGAGCAGCGTCGCCATGGACACAAGCTCGTCACACCCAGGAAGCTGCAGACGCCCGGGTTGTGTGCTTACTCTGCAGGCTGAAGCGCTCCGAGCTGCCCTCCTCCACAGGCGTCACCAGCTTCATCCTCAGGCTCAGCTTCCCGTCTCCTTTCTCCGCCGAGTTCTCCGCGCTCTCCCCCGACACGATGTCACTGGCAGCCATCGCCACATCCACGGAGACGTCGCCCGCCGTGTCCGGCTTCTCAGAGAAGGAGGGGATCTCTGGATGGAAAGAAGAACACGGGAGCTCAGCGGCAGATCGCTACGTTTGGTCGACATGTTTTTGTTTTTGCGGTGAAAGAACTCACCGATGGGAGTGCTGTGTCTCAGCGTCTGCTTCAGCTGGTTGATTAAAGGAGGCGTGGTGCCGACAACTGGACCGATCAACTCGCCTTCTTTAGGAAGCGTGAAGTGGAAGGAGATTTCTGTAGAAGAAAAGCAGAACTTGAATCAGATAAAGTAGTTTTTCTTATTAAAACCAGATACTGTCAACTCACAGACAGGGACGAGGGGTTTCTGGCTGTCCTGACTAACTTTTAATGAACATTTCCAGGATTAGATGTGACCACAACGAGAGCAGTGTTGCAAAAAAAATCCCTAAACATGCAGCAGTTCATGAACAGTCCATCTCATAATCCATCATCTATACACCTTAATCCTCACTATGGGGGGCTGGAGTCTATCCCAGCTGACTCAGGGTGAAGGCAGGAGACACCCTGGACAGGTCACCAGTCTATCACAGGGCTACACTTAGAGACAGACAACCAAGCACACTCACATTCACACCTACGGACAATTTAGAATCACCAATTAACCTCAACATGTTTCTGGACTGTGGGAGGAAGCCGGAGAACCCGGAGAGAACCCACGCTGCACGGGGAGAACATGGAGACTCCACGCAGAAAGATCCCGGGTGTCCTCACCGGAACGCGAACCGGCGACCTTCTAGCTGCGAGTCAACGGTGCTAACCACTGATCCACCTTGCAGTCCCCATCTCATAATGTTTGTGAGAAAAATATTCCCAATTTCCACTTTCCCAGAACTCACCAGTTGAATTTGGGGATGCAAAACTAGGATATATATGTTAATAAAGTCATACTGGACTTTTTAAATTAATTTTTCGTTGGCACTCATGTCAGTCGAACAGCAAAGTGACACCTTTCACATGACGGTTGTGTTTTTAGGGATTCACATCAGCAATCTGAATCTGTTTTGTCCGTTAATGTCCGTAGGTCTGCAGTCCCTGGTTGGCTGATACGCCCTCATCCAAACATCTTCTCATTGGTCAGTCACTGGGGTAAATGTATTGAACGTCTACTGAACTGTAGTTGGAGTCGATCCCAAACTAACTGACATCATGTCCAAGAAGTCGTCTTTCTTGAAGAACCTATATTCTGCTCTCGACTAGAACACGTTTAACGTTCTAAAACCCAACATTTTTCCTCATCCTGTTCATTTCTGCAGCATCTCTTCTCACCTTCTGTCTGAAACGCTCTGTTTTAAAGCTCCTGTCTCTTTAAGGCCTTTCCTCCTGAAAAGTTTGCTTTTTTTGTCAACTGGCCTGAAGAATGTGAGGCGACGTTGGTCACAGAGCTCTGAATACTGGAATGTAGTTCTCACAAAACCAGCTCTAGCAAGGAGGTACTGAATGGGCTGTAAGGAAAGCCGTTAATTAAAATGAGGTCTTTCAGGCAAGTCAGGAGCAGAGTTTTCTCCCTTTGCTGTGGACTTTTGTAAGTTTGCAGACCTTCTACGTGAACAAAAAGCAGCCAAAGGAAAGAGAGAAACACCAAATGAAGAATAAGGGTTCTTTAAAGCGGATGGCTAAAGTGTAACTTTGCAAACAGCACATAGAAATACAGCAGCTAACTTGTCTGTGTTCAATTCCTCAATAGCTCTTGTGCAGCGATCACCAGTCGTTATGGTTCTATTTTCAGAAATCATATGAATATGGTGCACACTGGTCTGCTGAGTCCGTTGTTATCATTTTAGTATAAAATAAACAGGTTAAAATGAATTAATATGTCGCAAATACCAGCTTTTTATGTCAGTTTATACTGCATTTAGGCTAATAGGGCTATCAAACAGAGTCACCCAGGGATAATGTGCAGATGTTTGATCTACTGGTTGAACAGAAGTTACGATTTCAGTCGACCCAGAATGTTGTTTTCTGTTGACGGCAGCCTGAGCAGAGGAGCAGATCAACTTCACAGCAGGCTTCTCTTCTCAAATTGTTTTATTAGAATAACTTTAGGAGGCCTGAAAAGGTACAACTACAGCACACATTTTTCCTCTTTAGGTTGAGAACTCTTAGCTTTAAAGACCAAACATCTGTCGAACAGCTCTTACCTCCTGAACTGTCGCTCAGACTTTTGTCTTTGAGGCCATCTGCTTCACGTCCCGCCCTCTCGGTCTGCAGCAGCCTATCAGGAGCCTCGTTGGCCTCCTTCTCCTGAACCTGGGACTCGTGGCCGTTGGTGGAGACGGACTTTTTGACGGGCTGGCTGGACGGCGGCGTCACCTCTTTCTGACGGATCTGGGAGTCTCTCTCACTGTCCTCCTCCTCCATGGGCTCTGGAGACAGCAGCTGACTCTGGGACAGAACCAGAGCCATTCCTGAGGTGTCTCCAGTGTTCTGCTCCTCCATCATCACCTCCTCATCCTCATCCTCCTCCTCGTCCTCTTCCTCCTTCTCCTCCTTGTCCTCCTTGTCCTCCTTGTCCTCCTTGTCCTCCTCCTCCTCCTCCATCAAGTCTTTGCCTGTCTGGCTGTTACTCACCGCTGAACGCTGCTGTGAATCTACAGACGGACTCTTTGCGCTCACAGAACTCTTCACCACATCCACGACGGATGTCTGGGAGCTCGTGGACTGTGACGGTAAGCTGCAGGGCGTCTTGTCTAACGGAGTCTCCTGCTCACAGCTGTTAACAGTCAAACCAGAGGAGCCCAGCTTTGGCTGAGAGCAGGACACCACGTCAGCAGAGCGATCGTTCTCGCCGCCTTTTACATTCACATGTTGTACATTCAGGGACGTCTGTTTGTGCTGTTCCATCCTGGTACTTTCGCTGTGGTGCTTTGGTGATTCAGCAGAGGTGGAAGCTTTGGAGCTTGTGGCAGCTTGTGACTCTGAGGGGACGGCGTTACTCTCTGGCTTCTGGTCGCGACACGAGCTCACGGCGTCGCTGGTGTCGACGCCGGGCGGCTCCTCCAGCTCTTCTATCTGCGTGGCCTGACTGTCCTCCTCAACCTGCTGCGAGGTCGGCTGATGTGAGCTGCTGCCCTGCGTGTTGGCAGAGAGCTGCAAAGGCAAAGTGAAGGGAGCTGACTCCACGTGCTGAGACTGAGTCTCACAAGGCAAAGATGCTGACTTCCTGTCCGACTGCTGCGGCGCCTCCTGGCTCTGCGTTGGTGCAAACACGTCCTGAGAAAACAGACAAACAGATCTGTGAAAATCTAAATTTAAGGGAAAGATCCTGTAAAAATTAACATATTATTGTATCCTCCATGTACTTTTGTGTTGCTTCTCTTGTTCCTACTGTGCTTCTTTTGTATCCAGCTGCTGTAACATGAGAATTTCCCACACAAGGGATCAATAAAGTTTCCTTATTCATCAATTATTTAGACATTTATTATACAACTGATTATTTTTATGATGTATATTTGAAAACCTAAACAACCCAAAATTCAACGATAAAGCACTGCAGGAGATATTCTCATATTCTCAATATGTAATGGGCAGTTTTCTCTATTTCCCAGTCTCTCATAGACTCATCAATTAATCAGTTAATTCATCAACAGGTAGATAAATCAGGTGAAACTGTGAACTGCAGCTCTACAGGTAACATAAAGGAACCACCTGAGCAATGAAGTACGTACGTGAGAGAACTCCGGCTGGGACGGCACAGAGAGAGTTCCCTTTAATGAGAAACCAGGGGAGTTCTGGGATACGGGGGTGGAGGCGGATGGGAGGGGCTTCGAGGCAGCCTCGGTTTCCATCGGTTCTTCCTTTTCTCCGGCTCGGTCATCCGGAGGCAGCGAAGTGTCCATCGGCTCATCAGCACCTGACAAAGAAGAATGGAACGTCTTCAACACTGTTCACTTCCTCTTTTCAGCTCTTCTTATAGCTCTTCCAGTGCAGCATTTTTAACACAGTTTTTGTCCTTGAACTCTTTCAGTGCATCAACTTTTTTACCATTGTCTTTTTATCCTATAGCTCTTCCAATGGGACATTTCTAAACACATTTTTTTCCTCTTTATATCTCTTCCAGTGAAACATTTTTAACAGTTTTTTTTCTATATCTACCTCTTCCAGTGCAATATTTTGAACACAGATTCTTCTCTTTTTTCTATTGCAACACTTTTAACAGTTTTTTTTCAATCCTACAGTTCTTCCATCACAACAACATCTTTAACACTGTTTTTTTTCTTTTATAACTCTTACATTGCAACAACATTTTACCACCATTCTTTCTCTTTATAGCTCTTCAGGTGCAACATGTTCAACACTGTTTTTTATCTGTAGAGCTTCTCTGCTGCAACATGCTCTAACCCAGTTTTCTCTTCAAAGCCTTCAAGTGCAACAACAACAACATTTTCTCCCAACAGCTCTTCAGGTGTAAAAACATCATGAAACACTGTTTGCTTCCACATCGCTCAAGTTTTTCCTCTTTATAGCTCAACAACAGAATATAACAGTGTTCTCTCACAGCACTTCATGTGCAATAACATCCTGTTGACATCAGTCTTTACAATAACAGACGATTGTGTATAGATGTCAATGACAGTACAGATGAGTGCTTTATCCATCATGTCACACTTGTACATGTGAGATGTGTACAGAGTTTTTATCATATCGTTCTTTTCTGCTTTATTGTACT